CTCCAGCTCCCTTCCATGACATGAGCAGGGAACTCTACCACTAGATCAGGTTGCACAAAACCTCATCCAACTTGGCCTTAAAAACCTCCAGGGATGGGGCATCAACAACCTCCCTGGGCAACCCATTCCAGTTGATCACCACCCTTACAGTGAAGAATTTCTTCCTAATATGTAACGTAAATCCCCCCTCTCTCAGTTTAAAACCATTACTCCTTGTCCTATATTTCTCTGATGAAAAGCCCCTCCCCAGCTTTCCTGTAGCCCCTTTCAAGTACTGGAAGGTGCTATAAGGTCTTTCCGGAGCCTTCTCTTCTCTAGGCTGAACAGCCCCAACTCTCTCAGCCCATCTTCATAGCAGAGCTGCTCCAGGCCTTTGATCAACATCTTTCCTGTGCTGAGGGCTCCAGAGGTGTACACAGTACTCCAGGTGGGGTCTGACCAGAGTAGAGCAGAGGGGCAGAATCCCCTCCCTGGCCCTGCTGGCCACACTTCTTTTGGTGCAGCCCAGGATGCAGTTGCTCTGTGAGCTCCAGCACACACTGGTGGCGCATGTTGAGCTTCTCATCAACTACCACCCCTAATTCCTTCTCCTCAGGACTGCCCTCCAGCTATTCTCCCCCAGCCTGTATTTGTGCCTCGGGTTACACTGACCCAGGTGAAATCTGATAAGCTGCGTATTTCCCATGGTTTTTGACAAAATTATATATGTATTGCCTTGTCTGCAATTCACCTGCACTTGGCATTTTAAGCTGATCCCATTTTATTTCTGCATATACCCCATGGTATTTCTTTATGCTTGATGAATTTCTCTGGAGATTTTTTGAAAAGCTTTGAGGTTGACTGCCAGGTACTACAAACAAGTTCATTCAACAGTGCAATCAGCTATTCTATTAATGGAATCAATTTGAATAAATTTTACTAAATAAAATTCTAAAAGCACGACATGATATATCAAGAAGCTTGTAAGAACTAATTTATGGGGATTCTAGTCCAAAACTAAGATCCTGTTTTCTTTTTTTCCTGTGGAAAATAAGCTTTATCATAGGTAGTGTCATCCCCGTTCACAAACAGACTTTATTGCTGTTTTGGATCAATAAGGTCCTTAGAGCACAAAGAGTTTTGAACGATGTTGTTAGTTTGAAACACTTTGGTAGAATTCAATCGCACCTGCAATCTTTCCTAAATGTAGATTTACTGTTTAGGAAAGAGTCCATTCCTCTGAGTCTCAAGTGTGGCATTAAACATTGTAGCCATCGTATTGTGCATGTGGCATGTTCTTTGTGGAGAGCAGGCGGTTAGATTAGGGTCTGGGTTCCAAGGACTGCCTAGGGTCTCATGTCTTTACAATTATGTGTTGAGATTAAGTAAGCCATCAGCCAGTGGTTCCCTGAACACCAAAGAGAAGTTAGGATTTTGATAGTTACTACAGAAAGTGGTTCATTTTGTGATCCTGAACTACAGGTAAGATAATTAAGTGCAGGATTAAAGGGGATGTGTTCAGTCCTGTTAAAAGTCACCATCCCAGGGACTTACAGCACCTGTTGCTTTGCATGCCAGTTTGCAACATATGTGAAGAACATACTGCTTAATTCTGTTTCTCCTCCATGTGTTCACCTAGCATGTTCATTTTTAAAGGGACTGCTGATGTGAAAACTGCTTCTGGAATTCTAATCTCACTCTTGTCCCTTCATATATATACCAGTTCCAGCAGAGAGCCTTGAAGTATTTTGCAAACAAATTGTTAAGCACCTTTGCTCTAAAGATAACTTGGCCTAGCACATGAATGACATGATGTAGGTAAGGAGTTTTCTGCGAATAGGTCCTAGTCACATTTTTTGCTGGGTAACCAGGTACCCATTCTGGTAGTGCCAAGGGGAAGTACACAGTGTAATTTGAAGCTGCAGGGAGTGCAATTAGAGCTCTGTTCATTTGGTCTTTAAACTAAATGGCATGAAGGCAAGTAACAAAATACTTTCTTTATGTTCTGTGGAAAAAATTTCCTAGTAAATAATAAATACGGAGCTGTCAGCATGCCAAGGAAATGCTATCAATTCTGCAAGCAAAATGTGCTGCAAAGTGATTTAGCTGCCATAGGTGGAAGTCTGTTTAAGAAGGAAGTTCCTTAACACCCTGCCTGTGATCTTTTGAGATTGCAATAGAAATGCCACAGACTTCTCTAGACTACTTCTGAACTATTTAAGACCCAAGAAAAATTCTTATGTCTCTGAACACCCAGCAAAGGCAGGAAAGTTAACTTGTCATGAAAAGCTAGTAAAGCTCAGAGAAGGGAGGATTTACAGAGGTAGAATGATCATTCTTTAAATGTTGCACGGATACAGAGATTAGAAACACAGGGTCTTCGAACTTCTCTTGAATCCCAGAATTTGGAGACTTGATTTTTAAATTCTTGAATTTTAAATTTTTAAATTAAATTTAAATTTTAAATTTTAAATTATTTAAAAATAAATAGCAGCAGAAGAGATCATTTGAACAAACCATTTTCCATTAGTGTTGGCGAGCTAAGCCAGGCCCACCATCATACAGATTATTGTTGTAACATTAATTGGTTACTCTAATTAAAGAGTAGGGGAGATCCAACCTTCAGCACAGGATGCACCTGAGGACTTCTCAGCAAAGACAAGCTGAGAGAGTTGGGCGTGTTCAACCTGGAGAAGAGAAGGCTCCAGGGATACCTTACAATGGCCTCCCAGTACCTGAAGGGGCACAGGGAAGCTGGGGAGGGGCTTTTTATAAGGGCTTGTAGTGATAGGACAAAGGGTGATGGTTTTAAACTGGAAGAGGATGGATTTAGGTTAGACATTAGAAAGAAATTCTTTAGACGCTGGCACAGGTTGCCCAAGAAAGTTGTGGAAGCCTCCTCCCTTATAGTGTTCAAGGCCAGGTTGGATGGGGCTTTAATCAAGCTGGTCATGTGGGAGGGTTGGAACCCTCATAGATCATAGAATTATAGAATGGTTTGGGTTGGAATTCTATGATTCTGTGATATGATTCTAATTATACTATCATGTCCAGATTGTGAGCAATAGCTAAAAATGAATGTCACTAGAATTTAGGCATCTGATCATTGTGTCTCTGAATACCAAGTCTGATATTTATGCCCAGTTTCAGAAACCTGTAGCCCAAAACAGAAGAATTCATGGCACTTACAGTTCAAACAAAGCTGGATTCTGAAAATGCTGCATTCTTTAAGCAAAAATCAGAACATCTCACCTTCAAGATGTAGCGAACACTTTAGATTGTGTTGTGCCTCACTTTTATCCAGAAGTTACCGCAGGGAGCTCTTAATATAGCTATTTATTGTTTGTGAAAGAAGCTCATTAATATGGTGATAAACATCCCTAGAGGGATCCCAGGAGGAAAATAATGATTTAGTATTCAGTGCAGGAAATGAGAAATAGAAAATAAATATTTTTTTAATAAATATTTTTAAGAAATCTATCAATTCAACTGGTATTGATAAACCTAAACATGGAACAGGTAAAGGTCCTGTGGAAACAGTGTGTGCACCCCAAGTTTATCATTATGGGGACACAGAACTAGATTTCAGATGCAAGCTAAGTTCTGGTCATTCTTAATTTCTGAGTTCTTGACTTTGCAGTTTAACATCCTCTTTTGTGATTTTTTTGGGGTTTTTTGTTCCATTTTCTTTTTTATGTTCTAGCAGTTGGAATGGGTTCTTACACAATGGTAAGTTTCTGTCTGTCAGTTAAAGACAAGTCCACTAGAACTTTGTGTTTATGAACCGCAGACAAATGGTTTTAGCATTTAGATAAATATTTCTGTGTTTCTATTGAGAGTTTCCAGATTTTAATCACTTAAGAGATTGTAATTTAGCCTAAATTTAAAATAAGGCAATAGCTAGAAGACCTTACTGGGTTGTGCAACAGGAATGCTTAAAGAGTTTTAAAAATTTTATCTATATTTTAAGGAAAAAAATGAAACAAAAGTGTTTTCAGGAGGGCTGACACTGTTTTTCAATGAAAGCAAGACCAAGTAGGCAGTAAAGATTTTTTGACTGTTAAGTTTCTGTGGAACTTACACAAAAATAGCTCTTCGTGAGCTGCTGGAGAACGGCTGTGTCCGTGTGACCTTTCCAATGTGCTTTTGTTTTCTCATTTCTGCTAGGGAAAGCTACCTGCCCTCATTTCTTCTCCTTAGGGATTATCTCAAATTGTAGCAAGTTTGCAAACACAGCTTATACCATCACTGTGTATTTGACAGTGAAATTGTGTGTTTTGAACAGACTTTTTAGCTTGTTTGCCATCTGACTAAATAATCCAAACTCTTCTTGCAAGTGAAACAGCTTCAGCAATTGGAAACCACTCATATGGGACTAGTTGTAATGAAACCACCAGGAGATGTTTGTTTTCCTAGGCTTGAACCTGTTCTGCATCAGAAGGAATTTGAATAATTCTGTCTTTCCAGAAGGCATTGAAAAGTGTCATCTGTTGGAGTGCCAACTGTATAATATGAGTAGTGTCAATTTTGTCTACCTTAATGCCATACTCTCCCTTTTAACTGTTTCTTCTTCTTTGCCTTCATTCATTTCATATCAGCACCTTTGAAAATGTTTTTATGAAGTGCTGTGTTAGGCAAATTGTTTCCACAGCAACTTTCAAAATAAATGTTTTTATAACATGTCACCATAGCCAGTAAAACAAAATATTCTTTGTAGTGCAGTTGCATGTGGGTAACAGTTAGGATTCAAGATCTCATTTGTTTATGCTTCTGTTGCATTTTAAACACTGTTATATGCTTTGAACCAAAACATGCAAGTTGTTCCATATACTAACCCTGGTCTTTTTAACTGAAGTATTACTGGCTTTGGATTTTAGCTCCAGGGGTCAGTCACTGGCCCAGTGTCTTCACTGGGACATGGTTCCCTCACTGACATCATGGAGACACTCAACGAATTCCAAAGAGCTGGCGGTTTCACTTTCTCACCTGTCTCTCTTTGTCCCTCTTTGTCCCTCTGTTAGGATCTGTACTCTAAAGCTTCCCATGCCTTAGCAGAACTGGTCACAGAGCTGTTTCTTCAGACCCTGCCTGTTGTGACTGGTCTTTCTGTAACAGAGTGTGAGCATCTGAAAGAGGAATGGCAGGAGAGCTTGGCTCCTCAGCTGGAGAAATGGGAGACCCACCGCCAGAGACACTGGAAGCTTTTCCAGGAACAGCTGTTGCAAGAAAAGAAAGTAAGACACATATTATGTTCTGGTAACCTAGGGCCTAAAAGCAGGGATATAGAAAAAAAATATTAAAAAATAATATAATTATGTGGATGGGGTATTTTGTATATAAATATACATGATACATAATACATCATATATTATTTTGTTATAGATTATTACATATTCTTATATATTATACATTATTTTACATTATGTTATATATTATATGTATTGCAATAGATAATTTACAGATATAATTATATGGAATATATATCTATAGATATGAATGTATACATAAATAAATGTGTATATGAATATTTATGTAGCCCAGTGCCAGACACAGGTCCAGACTGGAAAAGGACAGTTTGACCTGTAGTATGGAGTGAATATATATTCTGTGCATGCAGACTTGCATAGTGGAGTTAGAGAGTAATTACTGAACATCTGTTCACAGTGTTTATGAACTTTGTCAGCATGTAAACATTTATTTGCAAGGCTGCTGTCTGATAGCCTCACCTCTTGAGCATCCACAGAAACAGTTAAAAAAAACCTTCATCTGTTCTGTTTGGAGAGGGCATATATGAGTACCATTTACAAGAAAAGAGGCCTTACAATTATAAATATTTCTTAATATTTTTAATGTATTAATACTCTAATATTTGGAAAAATATGATACACACTTTATAGAAATATTATTCTTTATTCTGAGAAGGTGCAGAAACACACATCCAGCTTTCCTGCTCTGTCTGTACCCAGCATGGGGGGCATTGACACCAGAGCAGAAAAGCAGCAACAGTAAATGTGGAGGCAGGTATCTTCAGCATTAGTCTACAACTCAAATGTATCTTCAATTTATTCACGCAATGCTATGTGTCTGTTAACACTGCTTCAAAGGCTAACACAGCTAAGTCAAATAAAGACCTCTATACAAAGTTGTGCCCCTTGGAAATGTGCAGTGTGTGCTGCAATATTTAGAGTAATTGGGACTTCTTAAGTAGAAGGTTGGCAGAGTTCTTTAACACTGGCAAAATCATACTTTTTGCTACCCTCATTCTCCAAAGTGCTTGGACAATCCAATACACAGTAAATAAGGTATTGATTGAGTCCCTGATTATTACAGGTGACTATAAGGTGCTTAACTTTCCCACTCAGTCATAGTTAGAGTTCTTCCATAAAACTGTGATTCAGGAAGGAAACTGTGGGCTTCCTACTAAATCTGGTAGATTTGCTGACCAGTGGTTTTAGAACACCCTTAGGAATACAAAAGTAAAATTTGTTGGAAATTCCTAGCCATTTTCTTTTTTTCTTCTCTATTTTCCTTTATTTTGAGTTATACAACAGGCACATCCCTGACAATTTTCTGTTTTTTTTTATTGTAACTCATCCAGTATCTCACATATTTTGAAAAACAATTCTGCTTGTCTTATTTCTATGTGTGATAAGTGTCTAGTCAACTACACTAAAATATGCTTGGGACCAACCACTGATGCCAGTGAGTCTGCTCACATGTTTTAAGGGCAGGCATTTGTGTTTTCTAGGACTGCTGGCTGGCATTTAGCATTTGAACTTGGCATATCTGTGCCTTCAGTGATTAATGAAACAATGTCTGACCTCAACTTTTTTTTTTTTTTAATTTGCCCATTTTTATCAGGTATTAGATTCAATACTTTCCTTGGCAAGCTTAAAGCTGTAGGTTGCTGTTTATTTGCACATTCATCAAGGGTTCACAAATTGATCATCCTTGTATGAGTGTGACCTGAGCAGGCTGGTCCAGTAGGTGTACTAGAAGCGTGTCTCATAGTGCCTGAAGCCCAAAGCACCTTGGTGGTATCTGCTGTCATTAAAAACCACAGTAAGAAAAGGAGGAGGTTCTGATGTGCGATTCACAATTAATCTCAGGAGTCAAAGTGCATGTTAAGGCACCTCTGCTCTGATCCTTCCACTGTCTCTTTGAACCTCAGCCATGGCTCAGGTCCAGAGAGACGAGGAGACTGTCCACAGAGGGGACATCTCAAGTCTAAAGTTTAGTTCCAAAAATCCTGCTTACACATTCCTCTGTTACTATCATTGGGCACAGTGTTGAGTGGAGAAACCACACCCTGAGATTTTTTCTCAGGAGATTAAAAGGAGTGGTTCTCTCCAGCACCCAGTTCTTGAATAATAGGTCTTTGGACATAACTGTATGACAGATTCACTGTATGTGAAGGCAGATGTTACAGTCATGCCCAAGCATAGATTATTTAATTAGAAAGTTGACTTTCCATCACTTTCAGTGTGCTGTAGCATTCATAATATACAGCATACGGTTTCTTAGCAAAAAAATAAAAATAAAAATAAAGGGTTTGCTGACATCATTAACAGTAATTACTGAGCTATAGAGGAATTCACTTAGCAGTGACAGAGGTCTTACCTTGGTCTCTGAGTCACTAGCACTGCAGTTGGACCTTACTCAGTATAAAAATTATCTGAGCAGCAGACGGAGCTGTCATAAGGACAAGTGATTATGTGGGATTAAATTCCTAGAAGACACAAGGGCTTGTCCTAGTGGGAAAATGTGTGATTTCTCAAGATGTTATTCTTTGCAGGAGCCTAAGTAGCTTTTTTAGCTTGAAATGTGTGGTTTTTTGAAAGTGGACTCAACTGAAGTGGAAAAAAGTGATGAATCTCTAAAGAGAGAACTCAGGGAGATAGCTATTCCAGCAAAACTAAGCTGGCACATTTTCCTGTATAAACAAGACTGATAAACAATTCACAACTCGTATAATGTTGAAATTCAAAGTGCCTTCCTTGGCCCTTTCGTAGTGTAAAGGCAGCAGCATGCACCTTTAAGCAATAAGGTGACATCTGCATCTTACAGAAAGCAGCACTTGGTTTCTACCTTAAGAAGAAAAGGAGATCAGACACTTGGAAGAAGTGATCATGTCACTTAGGAGATTCCATCTGTTACAGTGCTGATTGTGACAGAAGATCCATAAATCAACATTTATATTGACAGGCCTTTTAAATTATCAGGCATTTTCTCCACAAGATATGTCTTTAATTTCCCTCTTAATAAATGTACCACTGTACTAAGAGTTACATAGTCACCTGCTTTACAGACCTGGGGAAGTCTAACATAGAAGACTTTTCCCCACAGTAATTACATGTACTTTTCAAGGTGGCTTAAAAAGACTTTTTCCAATTTATCTGAACTGGTTTTTTTATATATTAGCTTTCCTAGCATATGTACATATCTGGAATATAAAGTCCTTTGGGAGAACAGAATCTCTTTTGCAGTGAGCAGCCTGAGCTAGTGGGAGATGTCCCTGCCCATGCAGGGAGTCGGAACTAGATGATCTCCAAGGTCCTTTCCAACTCAAACCATTCTATAGATTCTATGAATTGAAAAGAGAAAATCGGTTTCATATTTAAATTTTGTCTTAGGTGTTTGAGGATGTGAGTGAGACAAATGAGAATAAATGATTAATGAAAATAAATTTTAGAGAGTTTTCCCATATAGCTCCTACCTCGAGCTCTCCTGCCTGGGCAGCAGTTGCTGGGAGCAAACTGCTGCACCAGACCGAGGTACTTGCTTGGCATTCAGTGTGCATCACACCCCATCTACAGGCATTTAGGGAGAAATTGCTTTGCCTCAATTTCCTGAGAAGCTGTGCTAAAAATGTCAAACTGAGAGCTACAGAAAAAAAGAGTGAGCTTTCTTTGGTCTAATTTGCTGTTGTATTTGAAGTCTAACTCAAAATATTTTATGGGTTTCATTACCTACCAAAGACAAATTCCCCACCTTTATTGCCAGAGTAATACTTAGCATTAGCCCTGCTCCAAAACGTCTTGTAATATCCTTGTTGCCAGGAAGCAAACCACCAAGAAGCTTAGAGAGAAAAAAATTGAGGTTTAGGAGGTTTCTATCCGTTTCACATTGTTGCTTGAAACCCCGAAAGCTGAACCTGCATCTGCATATCAGTCTTGACATGGTGTGCATTTTATGGCTTTCTCCTAATTTTATACTGATTTTTTCATAGTGATTGGAATGACTCTTCAAGTAGCCAGACATTCCTCAAAGCTTTACTTCCCCCTTTATGATGCTTTTGTCACTGATTCTGCTGGCTAAGTGCAGGAATTGGGCTCTCTTGCAATTTCTGAGTCTGTGCAGCAGCGTAATTTTCTTCACTCTGTGCTGACCTATCTCTGAGCAAAGTAAAGCCATTCCCAAGAATAGGAAGGCTTTGAGAGGCACCTGGAGACTTGGCCCAGTGTTGGAAGGACGTGCAGCACAAAGACTGACTTATCCACCTGCTTTGATGATGTTTTGCTCTTTTTCAGCAATATATCAGCAGCCTCAAGTTAAGATTCCCAGAGGATCTTTGCTGTTGCATCTGTGCCTGCATGTCTTAGCTCTTCCATTATTTTGGTGGTGGAAAATACCCAGCCTTTCCAGTTCATCTCAGTGAGCCGTTGAAGTGTTGCTTCCAATAAAACATAAAATACTCTGTTCTTATTCCCAGCTGACCCCTTCCCTTCTTGATCATCTTCTTAACAGCCTTTTTGAGACAAAACACTGTTTTAATATTTGGTCCAAATCTCAATCTTTCTTATTTATCATCCCACCCTAAATGTGTAATAATCCCCCTCCTTTCCTCTTTGTTCTCTTACTACTTAAATGGCTGATACAGTTCACTGCTCAGTTCTATTTTCTGCTATATTCTCAGCTTTCCATTGGTCTTGAGGGGTGAAGAGACCTTTTATAAGGTCTTGCATACAGCTTACCTTAAATGCACTTGCAATCTGAAAGGTGACTCATTCTTCTCCTTTTAAAGAAAGTCTGTGTTCAGCACTACTTAGCTAGGCTATTTCTTCATAAACAGAAGTAAAAAACTCCAATCCCTGTCCTTGTTATCATTCTGAGTACCTTTTTGGGTAGGATATACTGATAGCAGCAGAGGTATTAAGTTTTAGTTTCTTGGATGCAATATTTCATCATTTCTCATTCCAACTGTAATTCAGAAAACATCTCCTGACTTCTGTATCTTGGTGGTCTACGTCAGATTTAATCCACAAACTGTTTGGGAGTAAGTGTGCGAACAGGCCCTTCAGGAGCAACATCTCAATGAATACCCAGGTCTCCAAAAATGATGAAAGACACATCTGAGCCACAGCAGTCTCTCATTAAATTAATTCTGGAAGGTAAAATGTAATTTTCAGCCCTTCTTTTAACTGCTGAAGGAGCTTTTAAAATACACAATGTGATGGATCTACTAGGTGTATGCAGAGAGGTGTGAAACACTAGAAAGCCATCCATGCTGCAAAAGGGAAACACTGAGAAGAGTTATTAATTCAAGTAAGTATTTGCCATCTGTCATAATGATACCTGAGGACCTGCTAAACTTTAAATTGACACTTGCAGCATGCAAATCAGAGAGGGCACTGTGCTCCGTTGTGCTCAGTGATTTTAAGAATTGTCTAGAGTAAAATCAGTTGAGGTCTGTCTACACAGGTGCATCTTGTGGCTCTTTTGAGAGCAGCCTGGTGGGTTCCCCACTGCTATACATATTTCCAGGCTGTGCTTTTCATGCTCAGCTGAACTCTTTCCATCTGTCACTTGTTGACTGCCTGCCCTTCTTTCCCAGGTGCTTAGGAGAGTTTTTGTAAGATTTTCTTCATGAAGAGGGGTCTGTTGTATGTGTTGCTGTGTATACTGCAGAGGAGGCACTATCTAAGAAAGAAATATATTTTTATCTTAAAGATATTGTGGTTTCTGATGCTCTGCACTTCCCAGGGGAGTTCACTCTGAGCTCACAGATAAAGCTTCTTTCCTGGACAGATCCCTGCTTCCCAAGGAAAAGACTGTCAAATCCAGTAGGAATCCCCAGTACCACTCCTTAACACTAACAGTTGTGCAATTACACATCTAAACCTTTGCTATACATACTGGTCCATTGAAACTTTGCTGTCTGCAATAGAAGAAAATTCATGTTATGAACAAGGCTAGAACATGAAGTGAAGCTGTCAGAGGGCCTGAGTGTTGCTTTTAATGTATGGCTCTGCACACTTCCGCAGGCAACCTGTATTTATCCAGCTGCCAGTGGAGCCTAAAATATATATTCTTGTCACAGTAACAGAGTTAGAGCCTTACAACCATTTCATCTTATGGCTTATTATTCATTAAACTCTCACAATACACTAAAAAAAATCTGAAGTCTGCATCTCCACAGCTCTACAGTCTAATGGCAAACTCATCCAAACATTGAGACATTCTTTTATCTAAATATTACCCTGAAGGAGCTGTAAACTTGCAGTCCATACACCTAATTATGCAATCTCTGATTTAAACTATTAGCACTGGGTACTACACACAGAAGGGTGCTGGAAGATTATATATTTGTTTTGTTCAGTGAAAATAAAAACCAAATTCTTTACTAGTAAAGAAAACCCAAACAAAAAGCCCACTGCAACCTGCTAAGAGTCAATGCAATATTTTGTGCTATGTTGGTCTTTTTATCTGTTGCTGAAACGAGAAGATCTGTAGGAGAGAACAGCTGATCCAAACCACTGCAAAGCCTCCCTTGCTTTTTAGTGAGCTTTGTTTAAGACTTTGATAGTTGAGGAAAAAATATTCCAAAGTTGAATAATTTTAATTCAGCTTGAGTTTGTTCCTTGAAAGAGGGGCACAGTTGGTTTTAGCAAAATAACATAAAATCATAGAATCATAGGGGTTGGAAGGGACCTCTGAAGATCATTGAGTCCAACCCCCCTGCTGCAGCAGGAGCACCTAGGGAACACAGGAACACTCCACAATCCCTCTGGGCAGCCTGTCACAGTGCTCCATCATCCTCACAGTATAGAAATTTTCCTCATTTTGAGGTGGAAATTCCTGGGCTGCAACTTCATGCCATCTCCCCTCATCCTATCACAAAGCACCACTGAAAAGAGACTGGCCCATTCTTCACATCTACCCTTCAGATATTTATATAAGGTCCACACTCAGTCTTCTTTTCTCAAGACTGAACAGCCCCAGGTCTCTCAGCCCTTCCTCATAAGACAGGTGTTCCAGTCGCTTAATCATCCTTGTAGCTCTCTCTTGGACTCTTTCCAGCATACCCCTGTTCCTCTTGAACTGGGGACCCCAGAACTGGACACAATACTCCAGATGTGGTCTTGCAAGGGCAGAGTAGATGGGGAGGAGAACCTCACTTGGCCTGCTGGCCACACTGTTCTTGATGCATCATAGGATACTATTGACTCTGCCACAGGGGCACATTGCTGCCCCATGGATATCTTGTCCATCAGGACCCAGAGATCCTTCTCCATGTGGCTGCTTTCTGACAGGTCAACCCCTAATCTATATTGGTGCATGGTGTTTTTTCTCCCCAGGTGCAGCACTCTACACTTACTCTTGTTGAACCTCATTAAATTCATCTTTGCCCAGCTCTGCAGTCCTATCTTGCTGAACGGCTGCTCAGCCACCAGGTGGATAAGCCAGTCCCACCAGCTTTTTATCATCAGCAAACTGATAATAAATGAATAATAATAAACGAACAATAATAAACTAATATACAAACGAACTAATATAGATAATAAAATAATAATAAATAATACATTCAGAATAAACCCATGCTTTGTAATGTGGGGACTGAAATGACTGAAATCAGTATCTTATGATTGTATTTTTTTCCTCTGCTTTTAGATATGGTTAAAGGAATATGCTCTGTCTGCTGTCATGCAAAAGCATCTGTCTGAGAAACAAGAGAAGATAATTCAAGGTGTCGTAAGCAGACTAGGATACATCAGTGATGAGTAAGTTTGGTTTTATCAGTAAGCAGTGGGGTAAAACTGCACTGCTGCAAGCACAGATTAAAACTTGTATACAGTAAGTTGTGGAAAGCAGTGTTGATGAACTATGAACATCTTCAGAGAGACAGTTATTCTAGTTTTTTATCTCAGTATCAGAAAAAATCCCAAATATCATGACTCCTGCTAAGTAAAAAAAAAGAGTCTTCTCTGATTTGTGGTGTGATTTGTGTGTATCTACTCCTGTGTTTGTGAGTAATTTCTAATCTTGAACCAGCTTCTCTTTGCACTCTGTGTATCACATTGGAGTTGAATATTCTTCAAGGTAAAATGTTCAGTCCAGCACCATTCAGCTCAGCCTTTGCTTTCTGCTATTACAATACCACTGGCCATTTCTTTGTGTGATAATGACTCCTGTCATATATTCTCTGTCTGTATTCATCAACAAAGCTTTTTGTTTTACCTCATCTTTGTACAGCTATACATGTCTTTGATAGAGATTTGGGTAAAGATTCTCAAAAAAACACAGTTCTGTGTTATCTGCCTCATTTTGGTTAAGGTATCAAATTACTTCATTCACCATGATCTTCCCATTAGCAAAGATCAAAGCATTTGAAGACCTGTCTGCACTCCTCTATTTTGGCTCTTCAGTTCAACCTTATATTTTCATGTTCTCTGACTTCAGTGTTTCCCAAGATTCAGTATCTAGAGAGCTCATGGTGCCTTAGGCTTACACACAAGTTAGATACAAGCACAAAAAATGTCATCCCAAATGTGCACACAGATTTCACTCACCTGGTCCAGAATCAACTTCAACATTTGCTCTCCTGTTTGCAATTCACCACAAACTTGCTTCGTGTCAGCCCTGCCAGCTACCACTATGCTGTTCAGTGTCTCTTGTGCCTCCTTGTTAATCCAAGATGCCCTTTTCTGCATTTTCTTTAAATAACTTTCCTGTAGTTCTGATTACATTCTCCTTCCAAGTCTCTTATTTAAAAAAAAACACTTTAATGATATGATTAGAGATGATTATTTATCTCTTCCTATTTTTATCTTAACTTCACTGTGACACAATTACAAGTTTGTCACAGCAGTACCATTTTTTATACCTGAGCAGCTCTCCAAGTCATGCTTTGTACAAGAAGACATTAAACAGAGTGAATAAAACCCTTGTAATCTTTGAGGAATTACTTTGCTGGACGTATGTGTGCAGCAAGCAGCTCAGCTGATTGATTTTAAATGATCCTTTTCACAGGTCTGTTAACTATATTTTGCAAAAACACCGACTTCTGCTGTGTTCAGTGCTCACAAGGCTGACCCTCCGAAGAGCTGGAATGGCAGCCCTGGCCCGCATGAGACTCTCCAGAAAAAAGAGCTTACTTCAAGAACTGAGAGAGCAACATACCCTGCAGAAAGGATCCTCCCCCTGCCAAGACGAGGACCAGTGGCAGTTACAGAAGGCGGTGGTAGGTACAGTGTCTGGGTGTTTTCTCTCTAGAAGTTTCATATGCTGGCATTTCTGGCATTAGAAGTAGCAAGATCTCAAAAAGTAAAAATGTTAAAAAAATATGTTCCAAACAGAAAGGAAAATATTCTCTGTCAAAAATGCACCCACTGCTGGCATTTGAGATCCCTGAGTGTGCGTGGTTTAGTGTGGGCAGATATTTTCAATTCCCTAACACTTTATCTGCTAGCTAGCTGTCTGTGATGTGCTATCTTAGATATGTTCATAGATTCATAGAATCATAGAATAGTTTAGGTCGGAAGGGACCCTACAGATCATCTAGTTCCAGCCCCCCAGCCATGGGCAGAGACACCTTCTGTAGATGCCTAGAGTGTATATTGTTTCCAAGTGCTATTAAGTACGTTCATGACTTCTCCCAAGGGTACTAAGTACCAAAGAGACCAACTTCCCAAGTAGGCCCCACAAACTGTGCATGTATTCCAGTTGCATAACTGTAGACTTGCCTTGTTCCTGTGCACTTCATTGAGGCATCCACCATTATCTCTTCCTGGCCTCAGAATATTTAACCTATGTTGTTCTTATTTTAATAGAAATAAGACCAGATTTAACAGTATGGAATATAAAGATGGGAGTACATCACTTGGAAATGACCAATGGGACAGGAAGCAGCTGTTATTGCACCTATCATGACACAGGCAATAGTTTTGTTGCATAGACACTTCTTAAATGACTGTACATAAACTTTCACTGGAGATGACATTATTCTAAGTATTAAATTGTAACATTTTGAATAGGTGTAGGACTTTCTTCCAAAGTGAAGCTGAGTATATTTTTCAGTGTATTTAAATGGGAGTGTGATCTTTTTGTCTGATTACCAGGAGTCCCATATTATGGAAGAGGAGGAGAAGCTCGAGGAAGAAACACAGCAAACCCATTTAGAATTTCACCAGCAACTAGTCACAGAAATTCAAGGAGCTCTTCAGTTTCTTCAGCAGCACATGGAGCAGATGATTGGGCAGACACTGCTGCAGCATGCCCGACAGGAAGCTGGAAAAAAGAGTTCAGATGATGGACAGGACTTCAAGGTATAGAAATGTTTAACAGCTCTTTTCCAAACAAAATGAGTGGTACTTTGCTGAAGTGAAAGGCAATTTGATTTATGCATTACCCTTTGCCTAGAAGTATCAGCAGCAGACCATTACAGCTGTGTTAGAATTGAAGATACATTACTAAGTATTTCCAAACTAACACTTATGTAGAAATACAGTATTTCCTTTGCTTTTGCTACAGCAGTCAAAACAGGTTTTATTAATCTATATGCTGGAATATAAAAATTGAAGCAGTTCTTGATGACAAAGAATAACAAAACTGAGGAAGAAATGGAGATGGTTATCCATTTATGAAGATTTTATGGTTGATTAGTAGTATTTGTTTTGATTAACAGCTAAATAATGAAATGAAAATCACACTTGCCTCATAGGTTAATAAAATTGCTCCAAAGCAAATATTTGGATTTTCTGTAAAATGAAAAGTTGTAGTAGAGCTACACATAAATTGATTTACTTTGCTGGCAGTTGGGTTGACGGTTTAAATGGGCTATAGAGATTGAACAGATAGGGTAACAGCCCCTTCCAAGTTGGAGGTGAGACACATTAGAAAGACTTTACTGTAATTTTTCTTCTTGAAATAATCCAGAGATGAATAGAAATACCTATTTTCCAGTGTCTCAGTCTGCTGTACTTTTCAAGCACGAAATTCACCATTTTGTGTGCACATACACAGTTAGATTAGGCCTTCAGTTGTAGACAGATAATAACACTTCAGCTTTTGACTTACACAGTGAATTCTGACTTGTGCTGTGTAATGCAGAAGCGACTTGTGGAAGCTGCTGTAGAAAGTGTGTATGGGACCAGCAATAATATCAATAGACTGGTGCAAAACTACTATCAGCAATTAGGAAGAATCACAGAAGTCTATGAAGGAAAAAAGCTTCAACAATTGAAATCCTTACAAGGTATGTATGATATTGACAGCTATAAGATAATTCTGGGTTTTTTAACAAAGAAATAAATTTCCTTATCACTGTAAAGATTGTTTTTAAAGATAACAGAAATCTATTATTGAAAATAAAGCAACAGAGCAAAATCAATATGTAGGTCCATTTCCATCTTTGAAGGAGAAATGATAGAAATTTTATTATTAATAATTACTTGAATTACAGTCTTGCATGCAGGACCCTGTTACTCGAAGTTTGGTGCAGGCACATGAACAGTCCCCCCAGTTCACCAAGCTAGAACAGGGATTAATTTCTACTTATGCAAAACATAAATTGTAAAGTTGCCACAGCTCAGACTTTGTAATTTTAAGCAAAAGATTTTACACAAACATTATTTCAGCAGAAAGAAGTGAAAGGAACAGACTTAGGAAGAAACAAGAGAAAGAACTGGCATTGAAAGAAAAGCAGAACAAAGGCCTCCTGAATGTATCATCCACAGTCCATCAAAGGTGAGAGCAGGCAGCAGTTAGCAGCATTGCTAACTTGATTTAAATGTTTTGAGTGTTTGCAGATCTACATAAATATCCTTCTAAATAAATGTCTTGGTTTTGCATTTTATACATCTTTGATGGAAACAACTATCTGTTGCCAAATTACGTCTGCCCTTTGATCTCAGAGAATTACTGTTTTATTAAGTAAACTTTTTGATGCTCATTAATTACAAACTGAAGAGCTATACATAGACAGTTTGAGAAGAGAGAATGAGAAACAATGCCAACACATATGCCAAGTTTTAAAAGAAATTCAAAATAAATGTAGGATGGGAACTGATGCTGTCTAATTCATTACATTCCCTCTTTGCTGTTTGGAACACTGAAAGTGTTTTTTGGTTTGCTGTCGAGTAAACATAAGCCATAATGAACAGATAATGTGTGAAGCATAAATAATGTTCAGAATGGCAAGAAGATTTAAGTTAATGCTTTGAGCAATCAAGATTACTTGCACTAAGAGTGGAATCCCTCAAATGTTAATTAAATTTAAATAATATTTAATTCATTACTGATTTTGTGAAACTTCAAGTCCAGACAAAAAGTACTGCAATGCCAAAGGAATAAGTTGCCATAGAAAGCTGTATGGTTTGACATACACATGCTGCATTTTTGTAATAATTCTATTTCTTTATTCTTTGTTTATTATTTAGAACAACACATAATTTGCAATTTTGACATTTTGAAGAGGTTAACTCTTCTTAGATATTCTGTTACTTCTAAATGGAAAGGAATAATTTCCCACTTTTTGGTTTTCGTCTTTGTTTGAATTAGTATAAAAATGGATTAAGGTAAAGAAAGGGCTTCATGAAAGATTTCTTTGTTATTCATTATAAAGTTTATAATTTATTCTAACATATAAATTCACTTCTATTGGTTATCTCAGTTTTTTCTCCCATAATCTATTCTAAATAAAATACAATCAAATTGGCCTTCATGCAAGCAGAAGTATGGTATTCAAGAATGTAACTATTCAGTGTCTAAGCTGGTCTCATAACCATTAGTAGTCAAACCCATTTTCCTATTGTTATTATTATTTCTTTTACTTTCAAATCCCAGTCTTGTATAAATTAATGAAAAAAAATCAATTAATTTGCGTAACTTTTATTAAATTCAACATGGATTGAATTTAGGTTTATTTCCTTTTGCCTTTGGAGCAAGGTTATGAATGTGAGTTAAAAAAGCAAATATTGACAGCTAACCTGCTGTAAGCATTGACCGTTATAATAGCAACTCCATTATGTGGAGATGTCAGAAACAATTTGTGTTACCTCCTTCCCTGAGGAATGTGATGGGTGATTGGCAGTGTTGCTTTGAGGTAGATCAGGCAAAAGAACAGAAGAAATACAGGTTCAGCAAAGTTGCAGCCATTCAGGTTCAACTGTATTAATATTAATCTTTGACCAGCAAAATAAAACAAGTGAAGAATATAGTTTTTGATGCCCCCAATTGCCAAGTTTTGAATTACCATGTTTCTGGCCCAGTCTCAACCTGGTACTGAAGAGCCCTGAATCAAATGTCCTGATTCTTAATCCCATCTCCTCACACCTGATCCTCTAACAGCTTGTGTCTTTGGCAAGCAGGCAGTAAAGCTGACTTTATAAATGTACAGTTTTGAAGGCAGACTTCAACAGTAGAACTGAACTCCAGGTCCTAAAGTCCAGGCACGGACAACCCAAACTCCTACTGCAGTTCCTACCTCTGAAAGGAGCTTGTATTCCATGGAGAACTAACGGAGGTTATAAGAATAAGTAAATCTAACTAAAGATCTACAGTATAATTGGTTGTCACAGGAGAGGCTGGATAGTCTGATACTGTTAATAAGTCTTTCTCTTTACAAAATCTTCTGAGTACACTTTATGAGGATTGTATTCCTCCCTTGATCTGAACATCAGTATGTTTACATTTCCCTTGAATAGGATGGTGCTGCAGCAAATGAAGGTTTTGTCCCAGTTTGAACTGCAGCAGAAAATTCGTCTGGAGGCTCTGAAACAAAAGCTGCTGGGATTACATCACCTGGAAACTGAGTTGGAAAATCAGCTAAAGGTAAATCAGGGTGAAATGACTCAGGGCTCTGAAGCAGTCCATGGAAAACATCAGATGGGTTGTAAGGGTATCCTTGCTGTCCCAATTTAAATAATTGCTAAGATTCACCACTGTCTTCACCATTGAAGCCGTGGCTCAAATCCCAGTGACATGCAGACAGTTAACAGTTTGAAACTATTTCCTACAAAGAGAACCAGGGACTTGGGCAAAGTGTTCTGTTCTATCATGTTTAGTAATATTTCTTTACTGTGTCTATTTCAAGTACAGACTCAGTTTCTGATTAGTTGAACATCTCTATCTAATCGGAGGGAGACTACCCAGCCTCCCTACTAGTACAACCCTGTACTTGAGTTCCTGGCCACAAGAGGGATCAGGCCCAAATGCAGTGTAGGTGTGGCCAACCAGGTTTCCGTGTCAGATCTGCTGTTCCTCATGGCATGCATGCTCTCCCTGTTCATGCCAAGTGCTGTTAACAAGGAGCTGGAGTTACTTCTCACTGAGTTTCTTTTCAGTAAAAAACACAAAACTGGTGCTACCTGTATTGTTTCCTGTGGTTTTGCAATGACATAGACCTTCTTTATCATGCTACGCGTAGAATAATAACCCAGTATCAAGCTGTGTTGTGTTAACTGACTTCTGGTTTATCTTTGTGTGCAGGAAGCTGAGCAGGACTTTGTGAGCGAGGTGGCTGCACTGGCCCGAGTTCCATTGGTGGTGAAAAAGAAGCCTTCAAAAAGGAGCAAGCCAGCAGGTTGGTAGAACCCTGAATTGTTTTTAAAAACTCATCATCCCACATATCAGTATGTATTTTGCAATATAACACAGTGGAATTTTAGGAGTGATTTTTCATCAATGCCATTTCCCTAATCAGGATATAGAAAAGTAAGGTGACCTTCCAGGGTAACCCAACTCACCAGTAGCAGAGCCACAAAGAAGTGTCACTGTTCCTTAATCCAGAACAGTCCTTCAGTCAATAGGTCAGACTATGCACTGAGGTAAGGCTTCGCCTTCCTCAAACCACAGTTGTTTCTTGTCTTTCTTATGTTTTTTAAAAGGACTTCGTTCACCCTGATCACGAAGTCTTTGGGAGGACAGCAGAGCTGAATCACCCAGTATTCATTCTCCTGGTAGAATGGAAAAACTGGCCTTCCCACACACATGCTCAGAAGTAAAATCTTATTGAATAAGGAAGTTTGAAATGTGTACATGAATTTACTACAGTTTTAGCAAATTAGATTGATACGTAACTCAAGAGATACTTAGTGACAAAATGTTAAGAATAGCAGTTGTGTTCTCCGTTCTATATTTGGAGTGGAGCATGCAGTTCATAGGCTTTGAGCCATGCAATTCTGCTGTTGTTATCAAAATGAAACGTTTGACATTACATTTGAAAGGTGCTGAGAGGTGAGAAAGTTGCCTGAAAGGGAAAAGCAGCTCACTAACCTTGACAGTTTTGAAGTCTCTCTCCCCAGGTGATTGTTTCCTAAGCATGTATGCACCTTGACCTCAGGTTAGCTCAGGACTCTAAAACCAGTGACTCTTTAACATCAGATTGTTCTGATTAAATCACATAAAATTTTGAAGTGACTTTTGCTCTGTTTGCTGGTAGGAAAAAGCCATTTTCAATTAATTGCCATAAAAATATATGATAGGGCTTTCATCTGCTGCAGCTCATGGAAACTTCCGTGTTCAACAAATGTGGAAGTACAATGTCTGCTTCATGAGAACTAATCAATACTAAAAAAGTCATTATTCTAGACTACTATAAAGTGGAATTATTTTCTTGGAATAATAGCATATATGTATGAAGTGTTAGAGTGTATTTTTTTGCTTTAGGTTAATCAAAATCAGACAAGCTCTACTATCTGTGATTTTCTTTTTTTTTAATCCACATATGTTTGCCAATACAGGGGAAAAAACAAACTCAAAAATAAAGAACTTTCCATCACCAGAATCAGAAGACAAAGATAATTCTCATGAAAACATTAAAGAGCCCCCTGGATTGACTTCTGACTTATGCAGGTACAGTAGAGGGTAAAAAAAATGGACACATGAAAAACTATTTATAAAAAGCAGTACAAAATCTACTTCATAAGCAGGTATGTCATTCAAACCCAAAATATAATGCCTTCACTAGCTGAGCTTTTTCCTTAATACTTAACTTCTGACTTATATTTGATCATTTTTTCCCCATATTCTTTTATAAATCTAGTCTGTCCTGTTACTTATTTTATAAATAACTTTGATTTTAGGTAGAGAAATTAGAAACACTGTGTCCAAATCTCCTTTAATTAAATCTTTTTTTAAATTTAAAACAGCACAGACAGCATAAATCAGCACAGACAAGTGAATCCAATGGAACTAGGCTGACGTATAGCAACCAAAATATGGTCTGTGGTATTTAGGCTTTCACCTCCCACCTTTATTTTAGGAACAAAGGCAAGCGCCAGTCTTCGACTGTTGAGGGTAGCAACTCTATTCTTGATAGATGTTTCAGTTGGCTTATGCTGGGGTGCTAACTAGAGGAGAAGAAATGGCTACAAACCTGAAAGATGCCAGCTGATTATTACGGGCAGATCAAACCAGCCAGCTGGTCACTGGGGCTTGATATATTGAGCAGAGAAAATCCTGTTGACAGGCAAAGCAAACAGTTGGTTCTCAGGAACCACAGGCCTTTGGGGAAAAATATTTATCCCCTGAGTGACCTCAGCCTGGGACTGACTTCAGGAGATGGCTCCTTTCCCTGATGGCATCAACCCTTTTCACACACTCCTTTCCCACAGCCAGCACTG